CAGAGACGTGGTCATACAGCAGGCATGGGTCAGATGAGGGCAAACAGGTATATGGTGGGCAAAACACAAGAATAGTCCTAGGGCTAGCGCAGGTCGACGATCGGCAGACAGAATCAAAAGGGGCAAGACAAAAGGGGTGAATCCAGGGAACCAGGCGAAGATCAGAAACCGAGAAGGCTAAGGCTAAGGCTAAGGCAAATGACTAAGGCAAATGACTAGGGCTAAGGCTAATGACTAGGGCTAAGGCTAATGACTAGGGCTAAGGTCAATGACTAGGGCTCCGTAAGGTAGCTATCTCTAGGAGAGTGATAAACGCTGAAACAATACTCGGCCGAGAGAAGGGATCAGAGTGAGTGTTAAATAGTGAGGGAGTGATATGAAACAGCTGGGTGCAATCAGTGTAAACAGGTGTGTGCAATTCGTGCTGAGTGCAATCAGTGCAATGCATGATGGGAAATGTAGTCCGGGGTGCTATGCAACAGTTTGTGTGGTGCGAGAGTCAATGAAAAGGAAAGTTCATGGACCGGATTCGTGACAAAAGGGATAGTTCACCCAAAAATGAAAATTTGATGTTTATCTGCTTACCCCCAGGGCATCCAAGATGTAGGTGACTTTGTTTCTTCAGTAGAACACAAACAAAGATTTTTAACACAAACCGTTGCAGTCTGTCAGTCTTATAATGGAGGTGAATAGGAATCACGTCTTTAAGAGTAAAAAAAAACATACACAAACAAAACCAAATTAAACCCTGCGGCTAATGACGATACATTGATGTGTAAAGACACAAAACGATGGTGGCGCGTCCTCCTGAGCGCGTTCTCAACAGCAGGCGCGTGAGGCGTCTTCTTCTTCTTCTTGCTTTACGGCGGACCATTGACACTCCTAATTGAGATTGTAGATAGAGTGTCAATGGTCCATTTGAGAGATAGGTGGCGGTAATGCACGTATAAGTCTGTGATCCGCCGTAAAGCAAGAAGAAGAAGAAATATGCACAGATCAATCAGTCCAAAACAGTGCTAAACAAATATTTTAGTTAGTATTTTTATTTTTGACATCAGAGGAGAACAGGGGATGGACCTTTTCTCCTGAGGAAGTGTTATTATGGCTTATGGACAGAAGCCAGAAGTGACAGTTTAAAGTTAAATGCCTTATTGATGGATTTGTTTCTTACAAACATGCAGCTTTTTACTTCATAAGATGTTAATTGATGGAATGAAGTCTCTCATTCAATTCATGTACTAGTTAGTATGAAGAGCTGCTATTGTGAATTGCTAAATACTGAAAATCTTTACTGATGTAAAATATATTTTGTATGCCATTCCTGACCCCACTGACTGTGAAAAACACATTTCCTTCTGGTCATCTGTAGAAAACTGCTGATGGTTCTGTCAGTAAAAGTTCTGAGCAGCAAATTCAGATGTTTGCCACAAGTTTGACATTTTATTTCAGTTGATATATATAGATAATAAAATGGTAGAGGTATTGTGAGAGGACAGAGGTCATAACAGTACAATAACAACAGTAGTTTATTACCTTTCCACTGTGGAAAAAAACAACAAAGTCATCATTGGAAATCTGTCCCAATATAATACCACCAGGCTGCGACATAATAACAGAGATATTCAATATTGTTCCTCCTGTCTCCAAAGCATCCAAAGAAAGACCTGGTGGCCTGGTGGAACAGATGACAAAGTCTGGTGTCCTGTCTTTATTTAGAATTGACGAAACAACTACTGTAATTCCAGTACTTCAACACACAATGGACTGAAGAAATTATCAATTTATGACACGTTGGTTTTAAACATCCTAACAAATTACCATGGAATTACCTTTTTCTTTTTTTTTCTGACAGTATTATGGTAAAGACAAATTTTTTGATTATACACAAGCAAATCAATGGCATACTCTTTACTTAAGTACTATATTAATACCATGGTATACGATAACGTATTGATTCAGCAACATTTCATAGCATTGCTGCACCATGGTAGAATGATGGTAGTGTTTTTGATTATAATTTAAAACGCATACATTATTTATTAACATGTTTATTTATTTGTTCACTCTTATATGTATATATTCATATATTTATGTATAATCTTATTATATTATTTGTAGAGAGTTTTCTGATCAAGTTTGCAATGATTTAAAAAAAAAATTAAGAGTTAGAAGCAATTAAACTGGATTTAATTAATACTTTTAATAGCTGTGATTTTGTGGTCTGTTTTTACATTCAAACACCATTAGATTAAGTATCATGTGATGGCTTTAAACATCACAGTGTGAGTAAAACTGATTTAATGAGACAGAAAGAGTAAACAGTGATATTGTGCATTGGAGCCTGAGCCTATTTTCTATATGAGCTGTTGTTGAATGCATGCTTCTGTTTTAAAAATATCCCATGTGTACCAATAGTAATTTTGATAATATATACAGTCGATCTGTTCTTCACCAAAGACTTAATTTGGTTACTCAACTAATGTTCTTATACTCTTCAAACTGCTCATTTCCCTGCAATGTCCCTTTGGCATTCTGTGACAATAGGCCTCCACCAACTTGAATGTTAAAAACTAGATAAGGAAATGCCAAGCATGGCAAATTATGTCTAAACGACTGTCTGACATAACTAATAATGAAGAGAACAGATGAACATCCTCTTCAGGAGTACTTCATCACAGAAACTCACATCAAGAACGCAACCTGCTCTGCAAAGATAACTGCAGCCAAGAGCTGCATCCCGTTCACCGGCTTCTCCAAGAAACCTACAGCCAAAAGAAGGAGGAAATGTGGATGTGAGAGAGAAAGAGAGGGGGGAGATCAGATTTGGGTAGCAGGGCAGCAGATTTGAAAGGCTGTGCATAGCATACACATCATTTTCACACCACATGTCTAAGTAAATAACTATAACAGGCCCAATGACTCTCCAATAGAGCGCACCCAAAATTTATTTTCATTCTAATACAGAATATACAGGCCTAGGCCATAACAAAAGAGCAAAGCATAAGAACAAGCTGTGTTTGTATTTGTACATAATGTTTGCATTTGAATTCAAGAGAGGGCTATTAACAGGCCCAGAGGGAATGATGATTTACTGAATTTAAACATAGTAAAATTTGTTAAATGGAGCTGAAACGTTCCAAAATATTTAATAAATGAACACATATGCAGCGAGGGTAGAGTCTTATGAATGGCAGAAGTTCAGATTCTGTGGAAATCTGCCATATTTTCTGTGGCTGTGGATTCCATGTGGGTCCAGCTATTATTTCGAAAACATTTCTGAAATATTTTGTACTTCTGAAAAAAAATTCTGAAATATTTATTATCATACCACAAACTGTACTCAAGTAGTGGAAACTTTTCTGCAGACCAGTGCATTAATCCTTCTCCCATTGCCCATTCATATTGTCCAAAAGTAAAATGTACAACTGTGTCTGAAGAACAAAAGCAGTACTTGAGATGTCATGTGCTTGTACTCTTGTCAGCAGCAGGACAGCACAGTCTACACCGTCAAAGACAAAGCAAAAAATAAGAGAGCAATTTTGACTTTTCACAGTTAAAAGCAGAAATTTTTGAAGGAACTCAATGAGCCTCGCCTTCTAAACAACAGCAACCTCAGGCACTGTATCTCATCAGTCATTTAACACTAGCATGCAGCTTGACAACAAACCTAAGGACTGTATAGGCTGTAGGTGCTATAGAGAATTTTAAATAGCAGAAACTTAAAAAAAAAATTTATTGATAAAAAATTATAATAATAATAGTTCACCAAGTAGCCTAATATTTTTTTGTGCAATAATGGACTATATACGAGCATAACTTATATATAGTCTACATACAGCTTCTTCCGAAATGTCTCTAAACAGCACTACTCATTTTAAGACTGCTGCATGGACCATTCATTTTCTCGGCCCATAGTGGCTGTTTAGACTAACTATCAAGCCCTACTGGTGAATGATTCACTCTAGTATTTTCTGTTCAAAGAATCTGTCAAACCAGTTAGTAAAATGGTCTAAATCAGTTCGCAATTCATTCTGAATAATTTAGACAGTTCATGCACACTCTGAATCATTAGCTGTGGTAAAACTATAACGTGATACAAACACAAAATACTAAAAAAAACGCTATAATAAAGTAAAGATGAATATTTACCTACAGTCTATTGAAAACTTACATAAACTGCATCCTCTTGTTTGCCAGCGATGAAAATATATTTATTTGGATCAACAATTGTGAAAAAAGTATACTACACGAAATCATGTGCTTGGTATTTGGCAGAAATGTTATTCATACTGAATGTTTTCATAATCTATAGAGCCCTTTTGAAATGTACTGTAGCTGCCTAGACCCTGAATCTCCACTTGAAATGCGTCCACAGAAAGATAAAAAAAATTCAGACATGTTTAGAGAGAGAAGAACATACTCTCTCAATATTACTGAGTACAGCATCTTCCAAATTGGAACATTAAATTCTCAACATTTAATCCAGCCCAAGCCAATCTGAGAAAGCAGTGGCTGGTAAGCACATGAGACCATTTCACCACACAAATCAGCTTGAAACACAATTCACAGAGCTGAAGGAGACTATAAGGGTGTCTGTGCTCTAAACAATGCTGCAGTGTGTGAGAAGAGAAATGTGATGAAGTTATTAATCATAATGATCTAACAATAAGATCAGAATGAACTCATCCCTTTATTTATTTCTGTTAAATTTGTTTTAATCACTATTTGTGTGACAGATGTATTGAGTTTTATTTGCTATATATAAATGACAGCAAGACTTCAGGAATGAATGAAAAATATGCATTTTAAAATAGCAGTGCTGCCATTTTATAATTATTGTTTAATGTCACTTAATTTCTTGAACGCAGGTAATGCATTAATTCAAGCGCTTCATTGAGTTGTTCTGTGTGATTTTTAAAAGACCTAATGTGAAAAAAGCACTTTTCTTTGAGCCTTATAAATTCATTTATAAATGTAATCTCATCAGGTATGAAACATGATCAATGAGTGAAAAAAATATGTTAATCAGAAAACTAGCAATGGATGACTGATTAGCATGGCCCTAACACCTGCTGGTTGATGCTATTACATGCACTGTGGATAAAAGAAAAGAGAAGAAAAGAAAAGAAAAATAAATTAAAACACAGTTCCTTCTAAAACAATTGTGCCATGCACTGTAAAAAATGTTTTTTCAAAGCTGCAAATACAACACAGTTTTTGAGTATAAGTCTTAGTACTTCAAAAATGTTAATTAGATGCGCTACTTGCTGTTTCTTTTTAACTTACTAGCAATTTCTGAGTGAAATATGTTTCAAAGTAAAACCTGCTCAATTTGCGTGTGTGTGTGTGTGTGTGTGTGTGTGTGTGTGTGTGTACTTTAAGGGAGTACTGCAATTGAGATGAATGCAAATGGATAGCTTTCTCAAGTATTGAAAATCAAATTCCATGTAAAATGAAAGAAAGTTTGTATTAGGCAACTGATATGACTAGCTTCTTCTAAATTACTATTTATATCTTTAGGGGTAAAGCTTTTTTAGTGGTCCATACTTGAAGGCCATACAAGGTGGACTGTGAGAAGCAAAGCCACACAATGTGTAAAGGAGCGATGTAAAGAAAATGCATTTTACATGAACCTGTCTTAAAGAATTTGTCATTTCATCTGACCCTGCATGAAAGATAACAGCTTACTTGCAAAAGCATAAAAGTTCAATCATCTGTGTTGGTTTTAGGGACGCTTGGGTCTAGGAGGGACACAGAATCACACAGACCTTCCCATTCCCTCAGTAGCTCTTTTTTCTGGCCAAGCACAGCAGTCTACAGTGATGGCTGGGGGGGCCTAAGAACGCTCACTGTTTCCAAATCCCTTAAATATTTCACTCCTCTGACAGAGCTGAACACTGACTCCTCTGTTTGCCTTCTTTGTGCTGTGCATTTGCACCTGTTCCAGCTCTAAGTCCTGATCTGTTCCTCTGTTCCTTTCTCGCTGCAGCGCCTTCCCCCTTTTTTTAGAAAAATCCTCGCCAGGCCAGCATTATGCTAATTTCCCCCACAATAGTTTAGGTGAAGAAAACATATTGCATGCTATCTTAACAATGACTTCTCTCTCTCTGTCTCGCTTCCATGCTAATGGGCACAACTTCTTTGTGTGGTGTTCCTTGCAGGGACATTTGTTCCTAATCAGGGGAAGGTATATCATCAGCATTGTGTGCCATGAAGAACTAAACTGAGAATGCCTTTCAGTTCCTGAATTTGAATTGAGGTAGCAGACAGAGTGCATTATAATTCACATTTACTCATTAAAAAAGAACAACTAGTGTGGGATGAAATTCAGAGAAATTCCTGTAACTGCTATAAAGGTGTTTTTATACACATTTATACAAATCTTTATTGAAATAATAATCAAGTTGGATACAATTAAATCATACATGCACAAAGACAGATATTGCATTCTTAACACCTAAGCTGTATAACTGAAACTTATGATGTGAATTTATATTATCTATGTGTGCATATATAATATACCCTATGGAAATTCTCATTTTAATAGTAAAACATTGACATGACATGGATTTGAATTTAAATTATTTAATATTTTACCTGTATATTACCTTTAAAAAAAATGACATTACAATAAATAAAAACAATCAATATATGATGATTTCACAATACATATTGTCACAATACGCTGTTTAGGAAGCACCCAGGAGGCACGAGTAAACATAAACAGTCTTTAATCCACGGAACACAGGGGAAATCCACACAATAGGCGCTGGCGCAAACACACGTACATAAACAGTAGACCCGACAAACACAGAACGCAAAGGCATCAACTTAAATACAAGGGATAATTGGAGAAACACAGGTGGATCACATATGACAATCAGACTAGACAAGGACAGGAACATGACGAACATGGCCAAATAAGGACAAACAGGAACAGAAACTGGGGCAAAACATGACAGACAATCCAGAACCCTGACACATATACAGTAGTTTCAAAGCACCCTTACAGAAAATGCTTGTTTTGGGTTATTCTAGAGCTATATAACAAATAATAGTATAACAAGTAATACATACTCAAGAGATGCAAATTTCTAAGTTTCGAAAGTTATATGAAAGCTATATGGTAGAAAATTTGGTGCTGTGTTGCAAACAGAAAACTAGAAACAAGGAGAGTACTTTTATTTCTCATTTATAGAAATGTGCCTAATTAGTTGAGAAATACAGTATTCTGCATATTACAGAATAAACAGGCATAATTAGTTATAATTAATTTAATCAAATCATACTAACTAATGAAATGGAAATTAAATGAATTTTTTGTGTGACTATGTTGAATTGCAATTCACTAATTTTCTCTTCCTCTCATTCTAATTCAAATTCCAATTCAACTTCCTGTGGGGTTTGAATTTCTATCCCAGTAAAAGGAAGCCAATTCCTAATAAACTGAATTTTGCCCAACCCTGATGACCACATACGCTTGCACACACATATATATACCAGAATACAAAGTGCACAGTGAAGAAAGATTCCTCTTCTTTCTAGTGTCAACGTGACAATTTTAAAAAAAATGTTTGCAATAAAGATATTGTTGCACAGCAGCAAAAGGCTGGCAAGGGGTCATGAACCATAAAAGAAATAAAGATAACAGTCACAAGTCATGCATGAAAGGAGTCTAGTGTCTCTCCAGAGAAAGAATGGGATTTGTATGTTTGTTGGTGTGTGTGTGTGTGTGTGCATGTGTGTGTGTGTGTGTGTGTGTGTGTGCGCGTGAAAGAGAGAGAGAGAGAGAGAGAGGGGGAAAAAGAGATGCAAAAGCCATCGAAGGGTGTCAATATATTCTGAAATTGAATTAAAGAGTAATTAGGGAAATCATTACCTGACACTTCAGCAGTGGGATTTGGTTAATTTACTGTGCCATCGTTCAGTGAATGAAGTATGTCCTATAAGACTTCTCCTTTTGCCCAAGGTGATGGGCACATTAGATAAAAGCTTAATTTAAATCAGCAGCCTTGACTTCTGTCCTTGATGTTGCCACCAACACTACTCCAAGTTAAATTACTGTGATTGAACTGATAATGTTTACCAAGCCAATTGTTTAATTCAGGAATACCTGTTATAGAAAATACCAAATATCTCAAACAACTTTGAAAGAAACTGAAGCAAGTGCTACATAAATAAACAGTTTCATAGGGAGCAGCAAGACCTTGGCCCTGTTTCAGTAAGTCATTTGAACACTTCCTTGTTGACTCTGCCTTGGCTATTCCCCTTGAGTGAAGCGAATCCCCACTGCTATCCTAAATGCCATTCAATTACTCCGATATCTCAGGAAGTGAGTGAGATCAACTATTCGATTAAGGGTGAGTTAACAGAACTTCAAGAGTACATACTGCCCTGAGGCCGTTGTAAACATTTGGAATTACTTCTTCAAAAACAAAACTGACATAATGGATGGATAAATGACAGATAATTTGCCTCTCCTCAGATTAATTAGTAGTTCTGTCCTCTTTTAATAAATCAAAATCTTGATGACAGCCAATTGTTACAGACTGCCTTTGAATAGCAATAAGCTGCATGCTAGATGAGCACTTGGTGCAACACTTGGTATCGACAGCGTTTGTGGTATTATGTTGATTACCACAAGAGATATTTCGACTCATGCCTTGTTTTCTTAAAAAAATTAAAAATAAAATAATAATCATAATTTTATAAAAGAGATTTTTTTTGGTTACATTTATTTTATTGTTTAAATAAATGTATTATTTGAACTGTAAATCTGTCAATCTGAAAGGTCATTTAAATGTTTATAGTTTTGCATTGCCAAGTTGTAAAATTTGTTATTTTAGCTGGAAGCCACGGATTAAAGTTAAAACACCTTAATGATGGATTTATTTCTTGGAAACAAGCAGCTTTTTACTTCACAAGGTGTTAACTGATGTAGTCGTGTTGATTACTTGTGGATTATTGTGATGTTTTTATCAGCTGGTTGGACTCTCAAAGGCAGATGGGGACAAACGTGAATGGGTGCCATCAGAATGAGCTTCCAAACAGCTGAAAAAAATATGGTTTGGGCGATGGAGTGGGGTACACTCTTAAAAATAAAGGTGCTTCACGATGCCATAGAAGAACCTTTTTGTCTAAATGGTTCCATAAAGAACCTTTCTGTTTCACAAAAGGTTCTTTGTGGCGAAAGGCGGTTCTTCAGATTATAAAAAGGTAAGAAAGAGATGGTTCTTTAAAGAACCTTTGACTGAATGGTTCTTTGTGGAACCAAAAATGGTTCTTCTATGGCATCGCTTGAAGAACCTTTTGAAGCACCTTTATTTTTAAGAGTGTACTCACTACTTTCTCAATACCAGCATTTATTCCTGGCCAGTACACTGCTTCTCTTGCTCTTCTTTTGCATTTTTCCATCCCCAGATGTCCTTCATGTAACCTCTTCAGTATTTCTGGACGCATAGAATGACAATTCTGTTTTTTCTAAGCAAGAGACCATTCACCATGGACAGCTCAGATCGAATGTGAAAATATGGTGAACTCAAACCACTTGGCCAACCATGTCTCATTTTATGAATTACCGCTTGCAATGCAACGTCCTTTGCGGTTTCATCAGCTGTTTTAATTTACATTCTGACACAGGTAAAGCCTCTGCTATCATGTTCACATGTAAAGTCACATCCTCTTCTGTAGAGCTTAACTGGCTCGGTGTGCTTCGTACAGGTGCACGAGATAAAGCATCTGCTAACACCAAATATTTGCCTGGTGTATAGATCAATTCAAAATCATACTGCTGCAATTTCATCATCAGACGCTGAATGCGAGGAGACATATCATTTAGGTTTTGCTTGATTATAGCGATCAACGGCTTGTGATCTGTTTCAACTACAAAAGTAGACAAGCCATAAACATAATTATGGAATTTCTCACATCCAAATACTAGACCTAAATATTCTTTCTCTATTTGCGCATACCTCCGCTCAGCATCTGTCATGGTTCTAGATGCATATGCCACTGGTCTCCATTCATCACCATCAGCTCGTAACAATGCTGCACCTAATCCATCTTTCGAAGCATCCGTAGATATTTTCAATGACTTTGCAGAATCGACGAAAGCCAACACTGGCTCTGTGGTTAAAGTTGCCTTCAGGTCTGTCCACTCTTTTTCATGTTTGGAAGTCAATTTAAACTCACTAGCGTGCTGTAGCAATTATCTGATGCATACTGTCTTAGAGGAGAGATTTGGAATAAACTTTCCGATAAAATTAAGCATTCCCATGACCCGTAGCACTCCTTGCTTATCTGTAGGTCTTGGCATTTCAAGAATAGCTTGAGTTTTCTCTTTCTTTGCTTTCTTGATTACTCTTCACCAAGACAACACATCATTGACTCCAACAAGGAATATTTACCTGTTGTAATGACTTCCTGTCCATGCATTGATAAATGTCCCCGCTTTGTGATCTCGCACACTAGCACAATCTAGATCTCAACTCCACCTACAGCAGTCGACTAGCTTTAAAGAGTGCTGTCTCAGCTTTGTCAAACAGCTGTTTTCTGCACTATCCACTGCCATTGGTCCTGTCTTTTCACTATCCGCCTCATCTGAAAACATCTCTGCAAAAAACGGTGCTGATATTTCTCTCACTCTATGAGGACTTGATTTGATTTTGTCTTTGATTTCTTTCCCTTCCTTTCCTCCCAAGATTGCTCATTTCCTCTCACGGTCGATCACTGCGAATCAATTGGAAGCCAATGTCTGACTGTTTCTGCTCATTCTTGTGTTTAAAACAGTTGTCCGCGTGGTCAGTCCACAGCACTCCTTTGATAACTTTTTAAATCGCAAATGTCTTATTAAAAACATAATCATGGACACTGTTTGAGATAATATACAACATACTTATTCATCTGTCTGATCGAGGTTTGTGATGGGGGGTCATAAAGTGCAATTGTATATGTTAGAAATGTTGATTTGTGCATAATAATCCAAAAGAGTCAGG